TGGACTAACCATATCCTCCCATATAATTAGAATCATCTGTAGATTACTTAGAATATGGAATCAAATGTAAATACTATATAAATGCTTGTTATACTGTACTGCTTTAAGAATGAAGATAAGCAAAATCTATACATATTTAGTACAGACACCATTTTTAAAGTATTTTTAATCTGTGGATGGTTGAATCCAAGGATGCAGAACCTGTGAGCAGGGATAGATGGATGTAGTTTCCAATGTTTGCTAATCATACTTCCTGTTCAATTTTTGGAAATGTTTTCAAGAACCAGAAAGCTTAACTGAATCTTTAGGCATTTCAAACAGAATTGGATAAGCAAAGCACCCAGAAGTAGAGAGCCAAGAGCCCTAGCTTAAATCTCTCATATTTTTCTTCCTGAGCAGTGTAGAAATGGTGGGTGAGTCATTTTGGAGGGCTATGGTTCCTTTCTCCTACATCGAAAACATATTTGTTATGAGTCTCTTTCCTAAGGGCAGGGCATACCTATGAGATGAGTAAGATTAATTCTGTAAATCCTTTGGAACGTTTATATTCAGATGCAATAAAATCCAACATTTAGGTATATTTCATAATAAGGAAAGCAAATATCTAAAAATCCAATGTGTGTTATTTCTAGAGAAACTCCTATAGGCTTATAGCATTCATCAATTTCCCCACATTTGATTCATGCCCAGCTTTTTTCCAACACACAATTGTATGAGGAGATAGTATATTGCCTTGCACTTAATAGGCAATCAATACTTATTTATTGATTCATTGATTAGCAAGGCAAAATGTACATGTACTCATGTATTTAGACATCTTTCTTTAAATTTCAAAACAGAGTTATCCAGGCTTGCCTTAAATTTATGGTCCTCCTACCTCAGCCTCCTGAACGCTGTGATTACAAGTTTATGTGACTACACTCAGTTCTACTGAGACATCTTAACTCTGACATGACATAGGTCAGGATTCCTGCCAAGGATAGAGAACTCACCAGCCCTCTGTTCTTTTTTTCAGTCTCCCAAATCTGCTTTCATCAGTGCTGCAAAGAAGGCCAAGCTGAGATCTAATCCTGTGAAGGTCCGATTTTCTGAGCAGGTGGCTGTTGGAGAAACAGATGCAGTAAGTCCAGCCTTGGCTCTACTCCTTAGTGCTTGGCCAAAATTAGCTAAGCTGTGGAGATCTGTGTGTGTGTGTGTGTGTGTGTGTGTGTGTGTGTCTATCTCTCTGTCTCTCTCCTCTCCCTCCCTTTCTCCTCTCATTCCTCTCCCTCCTTCCCTCCCTCTCTCTCTTTCTCTCTTTCTCTGTCTCTCTTTCTCTCTCCTCTCCCTCCCTCTCTCTCTCACTCCTCTCCCTCCTTCCCTCCCTCTCTCTCTTTCTCTTTCTCTATTTCTCTCCCTCCCTCTCCCTCTCCTGCTCCCTCTCCCTCTCCCTCCCTCTTCTCTCTCTTTCCCCTCTCTCTCTTCTCTCATCCCAGTTGATAACATTACTAAAGGGTTGGAACCAGAAAAGCCCATGCTGTGAGTGAGTAGGTAGTGAGTAGACCAGAGTGTGTAGCTTCCAGGGAGGCTCCCCACACATTGGAAGAAGAAAAAACATGTATCAGTACACTCTAGATTCTCTTGATGTGTAGAGAAATTTCCATCCCTGCCACAATAGCATACACTCAGAACAAGTGCTCCATAAACATCTTTTGGCTACTTGATAGAAACAGGAAGGAAGTAATGGTTTTCTGAAGATCCAGGGAGCAAGAAGCTGATGAAATTGAACTCTCTTCTCATTTAAGTGGTCCTGCAATTTCACATCTTGACTGGAGAAAACTGTGGTGATAGGTGAAGTTGCCTAGGGGAAATGACAGACTCTGCTTAAACTCAGCAAGTTTTTATTACGCACAAAATAAATGCCTGTTTCCTGTCACTGGATACCTCTCAGTGTTGGGGTATCAGTGGGAGGGGGGACAAGTGGTTCAGACTAAGGCAGTAGAGAATCCACTGCTATGTGGCATCATCTCTACAAACAGGTAATATTTGACAGCGCATTCCAAACAGCTGCCAATCTAGGAGACGCTGGCCAGCCCATGGCCTTTCTCACTGTTTTGTGGGATTTACATGAGGTGAGCTGTCAGCTCCAGATGTGCAGATGGGAAGAGGTGAGTGGGAAGCAGAAATAAGTATGTTCAGCTATCATGGAATCTGGCCCAGAGTTCCCCAGGAGTCTGAGGAAATTGGTGATATCCCAGTGGGGGTAGGAGAGATTGAGCTAATAGGCCTTGTGTGCTTTTGTAGGCAGTGGCCAGCTTTGCTGTCAGGGATACTTAGCATTCACACACTGAGGCCCAGCTGTAGTTGTTGAGAGAAGATAACAGGCCCTGAACTAGCAGGGAAATGAGTGCGATGCCCAGCACCTCTAGTTCTCTGAGGCAAAGCCACTCAGAAGAAAGGACAAGAGACACATCTCCATTGCCTGATTCTCATCCTCAAACCCAGCCAGTGCCTTCATGCACACATGTATAAAAAAGGCTAGGAAGCCCAGAGGACTGTGGGACCCCATTGGCAAGCTGTCTGAATAACTGGTGCTTGGGATCTATGTCCATTCTGGAAAAGGCTGAAGTTAAAGACAATGGGTGATCAGAGGGTAGAGGATACAGGATGAAGTCCATTGAAGATCAGACTGAAGCAGATTCTGAGTGCCAAGTGACCAAAGGGACATTTGTGTCCTGAACCATAAGACTTCAATTTGGAAAGTCGGACTAGTGCAGTCTATCCTACCTCAATATTGCAGACAAATTAGCTATGGCCAGAACAACCAGTGAAAAACTCCCACACTTCCTCCCCTTTCTTTATTCGTCTACCCCCTTTCCATTTTCCATGCTCTCCTTCCTCCACTGTAACTCTTCCATACCTCAGAGCTGGGCCACGGGCAAACTGAAACCCTTACTCCAGCCCTACTGGAAAACAAGTGCAGCTAGAACCCTTCCAATGACTTCTTTTTTTCCCTCACTGGGACAGGCCACCAAGCATCTCTCAAAGCTCTTACCGGGACAAAGGCACATCGATCTTCCACCTCTTACTGTACTTAGGAAATTCCCTGAATATCACAACAGCAGCCTTCCACTGCTGCTGCCAGTATGGACCATAGCAGCCTGTTGGGACTTGGGGAGTCCAGATGACTCCAGGCTGTCCCATATCTCTTTCCCTTGTGTTCCAAGGCTTTATTAAGCAACCAGAGTAAAAATAAATCCTGTGGGTGTTCCTTGCCAGCTCTATTTTTAAGCAAAATCAATTAAGTAATTATCTGAGTCCAACCCAGTGTGCTAAATAAAACCTGCCACCACCAAGCGTCATCAGCCTGGGGAGTCAGGGCCTCTGGAGTTGGCAGGAGCAAGGCATCTTAGGATCAAGGAGAGGTCTGGGAAGGCCCACTTTTTAAACTTTATTTACTTTTTTTGTTTATTCATTAATTCATTTAGATAATGAAGAATAGTAGAAGGTAGGGATACTCAGGGTCAGCCAGGCAAGAGTATCACAAGGCCAAGTCCCATGTTGCAAGGTGTTGCCTTGTCTACAAGAACTGAACTCATATTCAGCTAACACTGACCTCAGAGGGTCCTGGGACAAAGAGACAAGGCCCTGAGTTCAAGTCCAGTACCTACATACAAAGAAAACACCTACCGCATGTTCATTTAACAGCCATTAGTTGAATACCAGCTGTATGTCAGGAATGCTCTTTAGTATTGGGACTGAAAAGATGAATATACATGGTCTTTGTGCTCTGAATTTACTGTTTGATTGTGAAAAACAAGTATGCAAAAATATTGCCACGTGTGATAGTACCCATCTATGAACCTATCACTAAGGAGGCTGGAGCAGGAGGATTTTGAGTTTGAGGTCAGCTTGACCTACATAGCAAGTTCCAGCCCAGCCATGCCTACATAGTAAGACCCTGTCTCAAAAACTGAAAAAGTACACGCGCATCAGTTGTTACTGTACCAAGGCATTACAGAATGCATATTGGAGCTTGGTTTGAAGAATGAATAGAAAGGGAAAGAAGAAGGCAGAAGAGATTATGTTTATTTAATAATTTTTATTCAGAAATTAGTATGTAGTCTTCTTTAAACAAACTCTGGGTCCAGGAAAACTTAGGCTAAGGAGTGATCAGATATTAAGAAATGGGCCATGGGCCTTGCCAGTGGTTCTGAATCAAGGTCAATGGCTCCCATTTTCCAAGAGCTTTCAAATATGTCTGAGAGTATTTGGGGTCATCTCAGAAATTTTCATACTATTAATACTGAGTGTATCAGTCAGAGCTGAGACACTAAATTCACACTCTCTGCGATGAAGAATTGTCAGTGATATGGAGGCATCAAAGGAACAAGAATACCAGGAATGGTAAGACATCTCTGCAGAGAGGTAGCAAGGGCCACATCTGAAAGAACCTGTGACCTAGAGACTTAAGATGTAGCTTAGTAGTGCACTTGCCTAGCATGTGTGAAGTCCTGCTCAGTACCCTGCACTGAAAAAGGAATGAGGGCTGGGAAGAGAATAGCAGAGAAAAGACCTTGTGAAGGATCTTGTAGGAAGGGAAGGATGATAAGCTGAGGCACAGAAGCCCCTCAGGGTGTGTGTGTGTGTGCGTGTGCATGTGTGTGTGTGTGTGTGCGTGTGCATGTGTGTGTGTGTGTGTGTGTGTGTGTGTGTGTAGTACTAGTAGTAGTAGTAGTAATGATTCGGGGCCACAGCAATAGAGATTTGAATCACAGTACAATATAAGTGCACCTCATGTCCAGTGAAAGATGTGACCTTTTAATATGGCCTAACATCTTCTTGGGGAATTTGGTTCTGATCTTCATGTAACATTATCGATCTGCTTTTTCCTCTGTCTCTTTGCCCTTTCATACCCTTTGACTCTATCATCTCTCTCTTTCTGTTTATCACACACACATCTGGACCTTATTCTTCATCTGAATGAGCCTCGTCATTGTCTTTTCCCTGACTTTTCATAGAAAATGATGAAGAAGGAAGCTCTCCTCCTCATCCCCAACGTTCTGAAGGTTTTCTTAGAAAATGGGCAGATCAAGTCATTCACATTTGATGGCCGGACCACTGTCAAGGTACATACAGAGTCTTTTTTCCTCAGTCAGCTGGTTGTCGTATGTTCCTCTGAGACTGCACTCGGCTGCTTACTGCTCTTAATGCTCATGAACACAAGGCTACAAAAATACACAGTCTTCCATTGAGGTGGTGGACTTTGCAAGCCCAACTGTGTGTTGATTGTTAAAATGTGGTTGTGCACAAGAGTGCACATCTGCTTCTGAGCTGTTTCATGTTCACATTCCTCGGATCCTAAAAGATTATTAAGGACTAGGATTTTGAATATTATCATGCCATTTATAAAGCAAAACTTATTTGTATTGATACAATAATACCTACACAAGTTTACACACAGAAATAAACAAATGCAGTTTCTTGGGAGGTTAACTTAGCCATGCTTTGCAACCAAATCTTAAGCACTGAACTGAGATTTGAAAAGTCCAGCCACAGCCCTTTCAGCTATGCTTTTCACAGGAAGAGCAATTACTGAACTGTGATTCTTAACAGTTAGCCAGGCATGAAAAAGTCCTAGTGATTCTCTTAGTCTCCAAGAACAGAGACGATGATACAATTTAACCTAGGTTCACTCTGCTCTGGGACACAACTGTCCATTCTTGATTTTCTGGACTCTTTCCAGAAAGATACTGCCATTCCAAAATGAGGGTTTTTTTTGTGCAACCACTGCAGCCTATTATTGCTGAGGGGCTATAACACCTATGCAGAAAACCTGCCTTGGTCCACAGGTGTCTTATGATTCCCACACTGGGGCTATAAAAAAAAAAGAAGAGAAGAAAAGAACTGGGCTGGGAATATGACTCTGGTAGCTTCTCCACACATTCTCCCACCTCACATCATTACCACCATAGTGGCTTCCATGATAGCAGTGTTCCCCTCACTTGAGATCCCAGTCTGACTGCAGGAAGGGTGCATGGCTATTCATTGGAACTTTGACAGGCTGCCAAGCCACTTGTCCCAGAGAGGTACCTGTGTGAATTGACAGCCTGGCACAGGGGCTGTTACACTTGTAACACCAGTTGGCAATTGCCGGCTTGGCTGTCCACAATCCCAATGCAGTTGAACTGCAAAGAAAACCTCATTTGTCCCTGCCAGAGCTTCAGCAATACGGGTACCTCTGTGACTACTTGGATAATACAAAGACATCCTCTCAAGTACCCAGCACTTTCCAGTCTACCATTTCAATGGCTGAGTGTCTTGCAGTGTTCACTGAGGGGCTTGTTTAGTAGGCTGAGCTGTCACAGAGCTCTATGACCCTTCTAGCCTGCTTCTTTACAGCCTTTGGTGACTGAGAGGAGATGCTGAGTGCACAAATGCACACACTGGCGCCCAGTGTGGATGCTGAAGTCATAGCAAATAGATGGAGGAAATCTCAAAAATGACATTTGGGCAGCCCCCACTGATAATGTTTCCAGACGCCCTAGTATTAAAAGTAGGGCACCAGAGCAGACGGAGCCCAGAAGTTGTCAGATTTATGACTGTACAGCAGACACGTGACATTGTTCCTCTGCATGGACACATTTTTCAAGTTGCTAAATTGATCATCTATAAAAGCCAGCTACGGCCAAAAATGAACATTTTGCCAGTAACTCAAGTCATTTGATTTAGATTATGAATCCGGAAATAGTCTACTTTTTAATCATAGAAATGTAGCTTTTGCTTTTGGTAATTCCTAAGTAAAGAGTTGACAGGCAAGGCAGAGTAGCCATTTTGACTGATGAGAGAAGGGGAGAAGAGAACCAACACAGTACTTGGCACTCAGTGAGCACTCAGACAATTACTTGTCTGGTAGAAAGAGGGCTGGAAGCAGTGACACAACCTTCTTTTTCCATATGTCCAATCAGGGATAATTCAGAGACAGATACCTCCAAGTCCTGGGTATGTGATGTTCCCCTGGGTCCAGACCTGTAGGCAGCACTCATGGGCCCCTTTTTTCATCCTGAAATCCAGTACTTGGGCCACCATGAAGACTGCTGTCTCTGCCTTCTCCATAGGATGTTTATACTTGGTTGTCTATCCTCCTTATATGTTTGCTACTTAGTTAGCTTAGAGCCATAATGGATTTCCCCTTTCAAAGTTCTTTTTCTCCTATAGGATGTGATGGTGACTTTACAGGACCGTCTCTCATTGAGATATATCGAGCACTTCGCTCTGGTCCTTGAGTATGCTGGGCCGGAGCAGAACCACAAGTTCCTGCTTCTCCAGGACAAGCAGCCTCTGGCTTATGTAAGTATTTCCTTTAGCCTGGCTTGGTACGTGTGTGCTGCTTTTCCTAGAGAAGAGAGTCTGAGATGCTCCCTATCTAGAAAATTTTTAACAATATGCTCAACCAGCTTCCAGAAGCCACATTTCGGTAGCAGAGTTGGTTACTACTCATGTCCAGAGGGCCCTTGGTCATGTCCTTTGTGACTTCAAAGAGGATGTGAAGATCATTAGTTGTAGTCTTTAGTAGCAAGTCTCTGGCACCTGATAAACCATTCTACTTCTTAAGGGGAAACTTGAATAAAGCAGTGATAGGCAAAGGTCAGGGAATGGCATAAACTGAGAATTGGAAATGAGTTCAGTAGGGCCAAGAATAGGTCACATTCCATCTACATGCTTCCAAGATAGAGGAGGAACTGTCTGATGTTCCTAGCCATATAAAAAAAGGCTGGGGAAATACAGGATTGCTACATAGGATGAGATTTCACCAATGGTCAAACACCCAAGTGTCAAGTGAGCAGGTCGATTCAGTAGTTTTATGCAGATAAGAACTAGAGAGGGAGCATTGGGAAGAAAGACCTTTTTAGAGCTTATGTGCAAGCCAAACAAGCCAAAATCAAGCTGAATGTGGTGAGACAAGCTTGTTATTCCCACACTCAAGAGGCTGAGGTCAGCCTAGGCTACAAAGGCCATTTCAGGCTAACCAGCACTGAGTGAAGCACTCAAGCAAGAAAGAGGATTGGCTAGCAATGTGTCTTAGTGGTAGAATGCATGCCTAGTATGCATTAAGCCCTGGGTTCAATTCCTCAGAACCATATAAACTGAAAAAAAAAAACAGAAGTGGTTCTGTGGCTCAAGTGGTAGAGTGCTAGCCTTGAACAAAAAAAGCTGTTCCAGGACTGATAAAATAAATAAAATTTTAAAAAAGAAAGAGGATGGAAAGAAGAAAAAGAGGGAGAGAGGGAGGAAAGGAAAATTAAGACACAAAAAAGAAGAAATGTTTGGGAAAAAATCTACAAATTCAGCCCTCAGCATACTAACTCTATATATTCTGTTTTTTCCCTACACTTATATACCCATGACAACATTTTATGTATAAATTAGACACAGTAATAGATTAACAACAATAACTAGCAATAAAATAGAAGATTTATAAAAGGTACTATAATAAAAGGCATTGAAACTCCATGAATTATTTATTTCTGGAATTTCCCATTTGATATTTTTGGACATGGGTACATGAAAACTCAGTAAAGAAGACTACTGAACATGAATCTTACCAGATAGAAAACAGCAGCCTAGCTCTGTCCTTAGCCCTACTTTAAGAAGCCACCAAACTGACTGCCATTCATTCTAGATATCTTGTCCCCACCTCTCATCCTTGAATTCAGGTGGTACAGCGGACCCATTATCATGGAATGAAATGCCTCTTCCGAATAAGCTTCTTTCCCAAAGACCCCGTGGAACTGCTGCGTCGGGATCCTGCTGCTTTTGAGTACCTATACATCCAGGTAGAGTCTGGCTTGGGGATACACAGGCAGCTATGTGGACAAACAGGCAGATTGATCTAGCATCACAATTAAGTCAGTATGTTAAGTCTTTCCAATCTCCTCATAGCTCTGAAAGCCCTTTTTTTTCTGCTACCATTGTGGTCCATGGCAAAGTAGATTGATCTTGTGACTTGATTTGGCTGTGGTTTAGTCCTACCTAAGTATCCTCACAAAGCTCATCCATTTTCAGGAATGAGCAACCCCAGTAACTAGTGCCTTCACAAGATCCCAAAGTTTAACAAGCCCTTTTATGTTTCAGGGGATCTCAAACTGCAATACCTAGCTCCAGTAAGGAATAAGTTCCCAATTCACTATATCCAGAAATATTTATTGAGCACTTACTCTGAGCCAAGCCAAATGCTAGATACTGACAATCAGAGGTGAAGAAAGAACCATCCTGGCTCACTAGAGCTCATGTATGCATAAATAAATACAACGATGGCAGAGTTCAATGTCAATGAGGGCACTCAGGAATCAATTCCTGAGAGAGAGACAGTGAAGGCTTTATAGAAGAAATGATTCAGGCATAAAGATGATTTAGGCAGGGCTGAGAAGGTGGCTCAGTGGTAGAGTGCTTGCTTTGCATGCGTGAGGCCCTGGGTTTGATTCCTCAGCACCACATAAGCAGAAAAACAAAGCCGGAAGTGGCGCTGTGGCTCAAGTGGTAGAGTGCTAGCCTTGAGCTGAAGAGCTGAGGGACAGTGCCCAGGCCCAGAGTTCAGGCCCCATGACCAGACCCCCTCCCCCCAAAAATGATTCAGGCATGCTCTTGGTTTTGAAGGAAGAGTGATGTTTACTATATATTGTAAGCAGGAGCTCTTATTTTCATGCATGGCATGATGAGAAAACTGTGAGCCATGTATGATAGTTGCAGTGCAGGATGTGACATAAGAAGCAGTTGGAAATGATGTTGAAGAGACAGGAACCAGGTGACCAAGGGCTTGCTAAGCTTTATGATAGAGACCGGGCAATGTTCACAGTGTTCCTGAACCAGCAGCATCAGCCCCAACTGGGAACTTACTGGAGTTCAAATTCCTGGTCTTTAGCCCAGCCCTCCTGAATCACAAACTCTTGAGGTAGAGCTCAGTGATCTGTTTTAACAGACTATCTATCAGATTCTGATACCCCAAAGCTTCTTTTAGTACAATGGTTCTTCTTTATTAGCATACCTTGGCTGTACATGGATGTCAAAACATTTCTATACATGCATACAGTGTACCCCCAATCAAACTCATCTCCATCACACTCTCACCTCTCTTCCCCCCTTCTTAAAACAATTTCAACAGATTTTATGCATGCAAATAAACTACTTCAACCTTATTCACTTTCATTTACTCTCATTAGCCTTCCACCATACCACGGGTATTCTCCCCTCAAAAGAGCCTATTTTACTTTCAAGACAGTGGGTATTAACCTTAGCCACTAGCCTTTGATTAAAAAAAACCTTCTGGCCCACCTAAAACTGATGAAAAAAGTATGGTAGTGGGGCCAAAATATTGGCATTTTGAAAAATTCTTCAGGTGAGACTAATGTAGAGACAAGGTAAAGAAATTCTGCTGGAAAGTGGGGACACATAAATGATGAATGAATAGCCGGGTCAGATAAGCAATTTCGGAAGATTACACAGTGATAAGGAAGTACTCTACCTGGGGAACTTTGCTATTATCCTAAGGAGAAATCAGGACTGTGATGGAGGGATGGGGTGGAACTCAAAGGAGACTTAAAAGGTACAGTCAATACACTTTGACTTGATGAGTGTTTCATAGAAATGGTGTCATTACTCAAGTCATGGAACGGAGGCACTGGAGTGGGTTTGGGGACAAGATGAGTTAATTTTGGGACATGTTGAGTTTTAAGTGCCCACAGGATATACAAAGCACTTGAAAGGTAGGGGAAGGAACTTCATCTGTCTCATTATGACACCTGATAAAGTGCTGTAAGACATCGTGGTTGTCCTTTCTGCCCTTTGTGACCATCTAAAATGTTATGAATATTTCTCCTTCTCAAGTTCCTTTGCCAACCCTAGAGGGGAGCAGTGAGTTGTATGGTTGCTTTATGAATTTTAGAAATTTTGTTCTCACTTTTTTTTGTTGGTCATAGGGCCTGAACTCTGGGCCTGGGCGCTGTCCCTCAGCTCTTCAGCTCAAGGATAGCGCTCTACCACTTGAGCTACAGCGCCACTTCTGGCTTTCTTTCTTTTTGCTTATGTGGTGCTGAGGAATCAAACCCAGGGCTTCATGCATGCAAGGCAAGTGCTCTACCACTGAGCCACCTTCCCAGCCCAGTTCTCATTTTGTTTGCCTTGAATTTCTTCATTCACACTTTTGAGGATTACCTTCATTCTAATATTTTGGAATTTGATGACAAGACAATTTCTAGATTTCTTCCCTCTGTATATTTCTTCTTTTTTATATATCCATTTTTGAGGTCCAATTGACATACAACAAACTATACCTGTTTAAAGTACACACTATAAATTGTGACACACACACACACACATTACCATAGAAACCATCATTGCTATCAACATACTGAGCATATATAATATTCCCAGAAATTTCCTGAAGCTCCTCTGCAAATTCCTATCCCCAAGCACCAGGCAACCTTTGAGCTGCTTCCCTAACTATAAATTTATTTTTTTTAAGTTTATATATACAGGATGGATTGTTATTTTAGTCTGGCTTATTTTTCTAGGTATAATGACATCACAATCCATCTGTGTGGTTGCATATATCAATAGTTTGTTTGTTTTTATTGTCAAGTACTATCCCAGATTTTTTTTGTACCTGGTGATGGATATTTGGGTATTACAAATAAAGCTTGCATATTCAAATATTTGTATTAGCACATGCTTTTTTTCTCCTGTGCAAATAGCAATGAAATGGATTTGATCATACAGTAGATCTATTTTTCTTTAGTATTGTTTTCTAGGTGACCAGATTTCAGACAGGGTCTAAGCTGAAGCATGTTCAGGTTGGCCTCCAACTTGTAATACTCCTGCCTCCGCCTTCTGACTGCAAGGATTGCAGATATTTGCCACCAAGCTCAGCTATCTTTCTTTTTTTTTGGGGGGGGGTCCGGCCATGGGGCCTGAACTCTGGGCCTGGGCACTGTCCCTCAGCTCTTCTCAGCTATCTTTCTTTAGTTTTGGTTTATTTTGTTTCATTTTTTTGTGCAAGTCTTGGGGCTTGTACTCAGGGCCTGTGTCCCTGAGGATTTTTCCTCAAGCCACAGCTCCACTCTGGCTTTTTAGTTATTGTTGTTGGTGGTGGTGCTTAACTAGAAATAAGAGTCTCATAATAAAACCAGTCAAAAGTCAAAAAAAAAAAAGAGTCTCATGGAGGGCTGGGAAGGTGGCTCAGTGGTAGAGCGCTTGCCTTGCATGCTCGAGGCCCTGAGTTCGATTCCTCAGCACCACATAAGCAAAAAGAAAAAAG